GGGGGGGAGAATGAGAGAGAAAGGGAAGTCAAAGGTAACAATGGCAACATTGAGATCTGCTAATTTTGTCTTGGGTCAAACCTACAATGGCTAGGGGCTATGGAACCAGCATCACAGATGGTCCCACTGAAAGCCTTAGCAGCCCCAGAGGACATCACAGAACATCTCTGAGAACAGCGCCTGGCTTGTGGCAGGACCTGCTGGAAAGCACTGTTACTCATTTGCTGTGACGTTAGGTTGCCCTAGTCATTCATTCATTCATTCATTCGTTAATTCCATAAGTATTTATTGACGGTCTGCTATCTGCTAAGTACTGTTTTAGGAGCATGGGATATTTCAGTGAACACAAGATCCTTGTCCTTATAAAGTTTACAATACATAGACAATATGTAAATTCCAACTAACCTAGAAAGTGAAAGGTGTAAAAGAAGAAAAAGTAAAGAGGGGCTAAGACCTGAGAATGAAAACTGGGTATGGAGGGGGTGGGTTGATGTCTTGTCAAGGTGGATTGGGTCAGCCTCCTTGATGAGGTTACTTTGGATCAAAGACTTGAAGAAGGTGAGGTGTGCCGCATCCAAGTGAATCATATAGACATCCGGATAAAGCACATTCCTGGCAAAACACACACTGTTGTATTATGGGTAAAGGGAAATTATGTCTACAATTTACTCTCACACAGTTCAGAAAAAATAAATTATAGGGACACATAGATATAGATACACAATATGCATGTGTATTCACACTTGTATAAATATACATGTACACAGAGAAAAAGAAAGATACAAATAGTATCAAAATGTTAATATTTGTGGAATCTGGGTGAAGGGTATATATTATTTTTAGAAATTTTCTGTATGAATTTTCACTTTTTTTTTTAAAGATTTTGTTTATTTATTTGACAGAGAGAGAGAGAGAGATCACAAGTAGGCAGAGAGAGAGAGGAAGGGAACCAGGCTCCCCGTCTAGCAGAGAGCCCGATGTGGGGCTCGATCCGAGGACCCTGGGATCATGACCTGAGCCGAAGGCAGAGGCTTTAACCCACTGAGCCACCCAGGTGCCCCTCTGTATGAATTTTCAAAATAAAATAATGTTTTGAAGAATTTCTATTTTTTTTTCTTTTAAAGATTTCATTTTATTTATTTGCCTGAGAGAGAGAGAGAGAGCAGCAGAGGGAGAGAGAAGCAGGATCCCCGCTGAGCAGGGAGCCTGGTGGGGACTCAATCCCAGGACCTTGGGATCATAACCTGAGGCAAAGGCAGATGCTGAACTGACTGAGGCACCCAGGAGCCCTAAAGGATTTATATTCTTAAAAAAGAAGAAGAAAAGCATTCTAGGCAGAAGGAGCAGCCTGTGGGAGGATCCTAAGGCAAGACTGCCTGAAGGGCACCCCGCTGGTTTTGTCAGTGGCGCGCCTGACTCTTGATCTCCGGGTTGTGAGTTCAAGCTTCATGCTGGGTGTAGAGATTACTTAAAAATAACTTAATTACTTTAAAAAAAAAAAAAGAGAGAGAGAGTGCCTGAATGTGTGAAGTGAACAGAGTACCCACAAAGGGAGAAAGGGAGTACATTGGTGGTTTTTTACTGGCCTAGGATGCATCCCTCTTCTTTAGGTAACAACACCCTATTTTTCCTTTGGGGAAGTACCCCCTCCCCACTCTCCTTCCATATTGATCCCATCTCCTATCTGGGGGAGAGGGGTAGCTATAGACCCAGGCCCGGCCAATCAGAGACAGGGCTGAGGAGACAGTCCTGGGGTCCAGGGCCGGTGGTGGGGTAAGAGCCCACCTGGGGAGGAAACCAGTCCTGAGGAAGGCAGAGCTGAGACCCAAAGCAAAGTCTGAACCTGAACGTTTTGCCCTCCAGTGGCTTCCGTACGTGAGGCAAAAAGAAATTCACTTTTTGCTTGAGCTGGTGTGAGTGGGATTTTTTTCTTACTCTGAACCAAAAAAATGTGTTGACTGCTCCCAGGTGTCGGGGACAGCCTCTCTGAGGAAAGGACATTTATGCAGGGACCTGGAGAATGAGCAGCAGTGGGGCAGGTGAAGAGGTGGGGAAAGTGTTCCAGGCAGAGGGACCAGCAAACACGAAGGCACCAGGAAAGGAATGGGCGAAGTGGCTTGGAGGAGCTATGGGACAGTGGCCATGGTGGTGGCAGGGAGAGTGAGGAGCTGGGCAGAGAGGAGGCTGGAGCTGGGTCCCTCACAGAGGGCCCCGCAGGTGTTGTCAAGGATCAGGGACTTGATCCCACTAGCAACAGAGAAATCTGACCCTGACTTAATTTGCATTTTGACATTATTTGCATTTTAATAACATGCTGGGGGCTGTGTGGGGACTAGATTGACAGGAGGGAAGAGTAGTACAGGGGGATTACTTGGAAAATTATTGCAGACCTCCAGGCTAGAGATGACGAGCACGATTCAGAGTCAGGGCAGTGGGCAGTACAGAGACTGGATGGCTTTTGGGGCAGCTAGGCTCCCAAGACGGCCCTGAGGAACCAGCCTCATCCCACACTGAATCTGGGACAGCTCCATGACCCACTTTAGCCGAGAGAATGCAGAGGAAGTGACACTGTGCCTTTCAAGGGCAAGAAGCCTGGTGTCCATGTCATCAAGGACTGTTATACCTCTGTGAAGGAGGCTACCCAAAGGATCCAGGGTCTATCCCAGACTCGAGGTGTGAGTAGAAGCCTCTGGCTCCCTCTAGAGTAGATTCCATTGACCCTGACTCTGACCTATCACCCGAGCACAGTCTCCATGTCTCTGATTGGTGCGTTCACTGGAGGCCTAAGGATGTGGGGATGTTTAGTCAGTAGTGGGGGAGGGGAACAGAGCGCCCTGAAGTATGACATGGCTGCCTGGTTCCACTCTGCCTGGGGGTGAGTGAGCAGTTTTCCAGAGGAGAACATGACCACTACGGTAATTTAGAAAGAGGCCCAGCTTGGGTCACGCTGGCATGACTCAGTGCTCAGCACATGGGCCTCAGTTCCAATTTCTTGGGAAATGGAATGGAATTCTACCACCCACCCACTCACACTGGGCTGACTCTCCCTGAGCCTCTGACCCCTGGTGGGTGTCCCTTAGCCCATGTCCCCAGACAAAGCTCCCTGTGGAGCTGTTTCTCCCACCCTGCCCCAGCAGGGTCCTTCTGATACATTTCCAGATTTTCTCCTCTGACCTCCTGCACCCCTGGCTCCAGGTAATAACATTAATTGCTACCTCTTAGAATGCGTTTGTGAATGTATGTGCCAGGCACTAGGCAAAAGCTTTTACATCCTTGTGAATTCCTTACACCCATTCTAGGAGGTAGGCATGCTTGTGTCCAGTTCACAGACAAATAAAGGGAGGGTTCACGCAGGATAAGTAAGTTTGCCAAGGTCACACAGCCAGGAAGTGGACTGAAGCTTATCCACCCCTGAAATGTGTTCTCTTGTTATCTAGAGATGGTACAACCGTTCAGCCCAGGATGGTTTTTGCCCCATTCTACCGCTGGGGATGAGAACCTGATGCCCTTCTTTCAAGAGTATTCAGCTTTGACCTCTTTGCAGGCTGTGCCTCAAGTTCACTGAAGCAGGTGTTCTCAAAGTGTGGTCCCTGGGCCAGCAGCCTCAGCATGCCCTGGGAACTTGTCAGAAATGCATATTGTCAAGCCTTCCTCTGACTTTCCGAATCTGAAACTCTGGGGCAAAGCTGAGGCATCTGCTCC